TTGATTGAAAATATGTAAATGCATAATAAGTTGAGCTCTTTTAAGTATTTTTATTTTGACACGAAACCCTACCTAATAGCACTATGGAACTACATTCAATCGAAAAATAAAAATAAAGCGCCAATCATTATAATTATATTCTACTTTTTGCATCCGAGGATCTCGAATAAAGTATTTTATACTGTCCATGATTACAAAAGCATACTCTTACAATGGCAGAATCGCAATTTGATTTATTACGCTGCTGAAAGGGTTCTTTCTTACAATTTTATTGAGATGCGTAGTATGCCCTTAAATTAGAAGTCTGTGCTGTACAATGTTTCCTGAGATGAGACGCATTTGTGGGAGTGATTTTGTGAAATGGGACGGAAGTGTGTAACAGGAAGTCGCGAATGCGCGCGCTATTTGATTTGATTTTAGAACATAATGTTCAAATCCAAATGGCTTATTGCTTTTGTAGTTAGGTTTTATTTCTTTTTTTACTAATATAAGGCGAGGTTTCAAATGTTATACACATCATGAGCGTCTACTGTAAGACTCGCTCGATTTTTTTTTAACAAAGCTGCCATATTTTTGTCTCATACAGTAGTTTACCTAAGTGAAACACCATTTTAATTGACGTAATAATCTAATTAATGAAGTAAAACTTCTTTAGGCACGCTTGACTTGGGTGGTAAACTGGCGAATATGTTACGTTTTCGCGTTATGATTAGTGTCATTGGTGACTCATCGGTAAACAATAAACAATACCCGTCACAAAATACATGAATCTAGTGCTTGGTGGGTGATAACGGACCCAGCGCGGATTGGTGGATGATAACGAATCCAGTGCGGATTTGTGAATGACAACGAACCCAGTGCGGGTTGGTGGGTGATAACGGACCCAGTGCGGATTGGTGGGTGATAACGGAACTAGAGCGGATTGGTGGATGATAATGGACCCAGCGCGGATTGATGGGTGATAATGGACCCAGTGCGGATTGGGGGGTGTGTGTGTGATAGCGGATAGCTACAATTACTACAGTTTAGATGTATATTTTTTAAATTATTTTCAGCACTTGTTTTGTTCAACAAATGTTTTGTTTGCAGTAAAATAATTATTTTAATGTTAAAAGTATTTAATTGCTGTAAATAACTTGATGGGTAATAAGTTATTTGCTGTGCATTTAAAAATATCCCTTATTTAATTGCGGACGTGCGGAAATGTGATTTCATAGAAAGATTAACTATCAGTAGTGAAAAAAGATGGCGCTGATTTATTTCTACATCGCCACAGGTTTACAAAGTGTATGGGTTTTATTCAAGTACATAGTTTCAAAAACCTGTTGTGATGTAAAAATTAATCAGCGTCAAAATTAACCCAGTGATTCGTGATAAACTGAATGAAAATGCCAAATTCAACTGCTTGGAGGGCGATCTTTAATCGCTGCAGTAACCTCTTTCCCCAGTGTTTGGCAATTACAGCAGTGGTTTTTCTTACACAAAAATTGATGAACTTTCAGATGAGCATGGGTTTTTTCAGGAGGTCGATAATACTAGGTAGAAAATAATACGTCTATTTGATTTCGTGCTTAGATTAAAACAAAAAGGGTAACAATTTGCTGGTACCCTGATATTGGCGCACCCACACTTCTTCGCACGGCTTAAAGAAACGGTCTCCACCTTTATTAACCTGTGTCTGAGAAGTAGGATTCTGTTTCAATTAATTATCCCTATTTGGCGGAAGTAGATCTAGTTTAGTACACGTCTAACCTAACCTAACCTAACATCAGTGCCGTTGGACTTTCTTTTGTTGTACAATGTTCCGTGTTCCTTTTGTCTAATTGCTTCGCCTTTCTAACGGTTTGCACTGCATTTTCGGCCGCTCCGTTCGAAGCTGGGTGATACGGCGCTGAAAATAAATGTTCGATGCCATTACTATTAACAAATTTAGAAAAATCACAGCTCGAAAAAGGAGGACCATTATCGGTCACTAATTGTCTTGGGAAAGCCCATCTCGAAAAGGCTTCCTCTAGTTTTCTATCCATTTTGTTCTAGCATCAACTAATATTAAATACAATTTATTCTGAAATGGCCCTAAAAAGTCCAAATGAATCCGGGACCACGGCTTGGCCGGCCACGGCCACTGCGCTACCAAGTGACGTAGCGGCGCATCCGCTTCTGCCGCGCACACTTCGCAGCTGGAGCACATCGATTCCACAGCTTCGTCGCAGCCGGGCCACCACACGTAGCTCCGGGCCATAGATTGGTCCTCGAGATACCCCGGGCGGCCCCTGCCGTGGAGCCCCGGCTAGGCCGGGAGGTTGCTGGGCACGGAAACGCGGAAGAATCCCTAAACGGGGATCCCGCGGCTTCACACTAAGAAGCTTAGATGGTATTCGCAGGGTTTTTAGCGAACAGTACGTTGTTAAGGCTGTGCTGTGCGATGTGCCTCTTAAAGGCGCCGTCGTCTGTAAACAGAGGTTTTGCCTGCGTCACAAAAAAAGGGTACCGGAGGCCTCAGGGTACCTTCCGTTTTCGTCTACAGTTGATAAGTCCAGCCGAGTAGTTTTCATGCTTGTGTTGGTATAGCAGTTCTCTTATCCAGATTCTTTGTCCATACGGATACTAATAGTGTTTGACCCCTTTCTGATTCAGGTGATATAGGGTAATTAATAAGTGCGTAATTATAGGGTTTATTATTTTGTGCGCTTAAAATATTTAGTCTCCTACACAAATTTTCACTCATATATCACCCTATTTATATAATCTCATAAACATTTATCGCTTTTATACCTGTCTGTTATCAATATAGTAAAATCCTTAAGCTCGACTGCAACACCACTCTTAATTGGAAAGTTATCATCTGGTGCATCCTATGTTTTCCTTTCACTGATTCATGGAGATTAGTAACTGATATCAATTATGTAAGTAATTAAGGCCATTAAATGGGTACTATGTATTATATTGAAAATTATAAAGAAAGCAGTTATAAATTTTACCTACCTACGTGTTTGCTTTAAACACATTAAAAGAAAATATTTTAACAAGGGTCAAACCTAACCATTACGTAGGCTACAATTATTTTTTCTAACATTGCAATCAGTGGGAACAAAATTATATCCTAGGCAATGCCACTGTTCAATTGTGAAGCTACTACATTATAAATTACACCAACTATGAATACAACTGTTATTTGTGATAAAATATTTATACAAAGTAAATATGCAGAACGTTTAAGTTTTTTTGCTACTTTAATTTCTTTAGTATTTTTCTCTATCGTGACTAGTTCGGTTCTTTCGATTTACACTCAGTAATAAAAAATGTCTATCAAACACAGAATTGGAGAATATATTTCGAAACGTAATCTGCTACAATTTAATGAAGGTCCAAAATATCCGTCCGTGGGACCTAATATCTGGATATTAAACTTTACCGGCCTCTGGCAAAGAAAGTTAAAATCAAAAGCAACTTTAATCAAGCAATATTATTGCTACGTTGTATTATTGTTATATTTGAGTCAATATATCAAGTCTGTAATGAAATTTGATATAAGTTCCTTAATGCTGCTCTTGCATTATGCTCCTTTTCACATAGGCTTTGCAAAATTATGTTTTTTAAAAAAAGATTTTAAGATTTATAGGAAAATTATTAATTACATTTCTCACGTCGAACAAAAGCAAATTGCTGATGGTGACCTGGAAATCAATCAAATAGTATCAGAATACATTAGTCGCAGTCGACGTTTTTGTTACTTGTTTTGGGCCTTGCCTGTTTTCGTTGATCCTATTATGTTTCTTCAAGTATTTATAACTTCCATAAGATTTGGAAAGAGCACTGGAACGTATCCGAAGATCTTAGACATCTACATTCCATACAGTGACTACCCGCCCGGGTATTACTTCTCTTTGTTAATTCAGACTACAATTGGTTTTACGATGAGCGCATACATTGTCAGTTGGGATTCCCTGGTTTGTGTTACTATGATATTCTTTGCTGCTCAACTCAAGATTACGCGTTTGATGATCTCTCGAATGATAGATCCGCAGAATCCACAAAAAAGTCACGACAACATCGTAGAATGTCTTAAATTTTACACAACTCTTATAGAGTAAGTTCATATCTATTGTAACTTCATAACAGTGCCCTGGTGCATTTCTCTTGTTTCTCTTCTCAAATATTTAATTGTGTGTGTACAAAATAAATAAATAACCATTTATATATATATATAATACATCTATAAAATATAGTACTTAATTTATAAAATTATTAAAAAATGTTTTATGGTAATGATGACAGTTAGGTACTAACTGTTTTTCTACACCTGAGTCGAATTTTTATTTTTACTTCATCATCATCATTGTAAATTCATAATATTACACAATCTTCTTCAATCTTCACTTGCTACGGCCCTGGCACGTCATTAGTCTCTGCCACATTCGTTAATCTTCCCACATACATCGATTTTTGATCCGGAAAAGGTCCGTGATCTTTGAGGCCATGTTATGTGGTCTCTTTCCGAAGAACGCTTATTCGATCTTGATTGGTTCTCTAAAAACATCTCCCGATGCATCACGAGGCACACTCAAGTTCCTTTCATTGACCTTCTTTCATTCATTCTCTTAGGTCCAAGCTTCAAGTGCCTCTTGGTTTTCATAAAGTATATGTTCGAGGAAATAACAAATAATACATAATTATTGAAAAATACAACTTCTTCTTTCAGAAAACAAAGAATATTCAATAAACTTATATCGCCAGTCATGTTTGTCAATTTATTCGTTACATCTATCAACTTCGGAATTAGCATCATTGAAATAGCTCGGGTAAGTAAGTAGGTAGGTCTTTATTTTGTACAGTTTCAAGAAAAATCTCCTTGGACTGGTCCCTCCAGAACTTCTGGAGACAGGTACTACCGGTAGTGAACAAGAAATTCTTATCTAATAGGAATGCTAATTTCAGGATTAAGCACACTCAATTTAGTAAATGCAATATTTGCAATGATGATCTTTTTTGGATTTCAGGTGGAGGATGATTTTGCAACGCTGGCATCAGGCTGTACCTACCTAGGCGCGTGTCTCATTCAACTGTTGATTTTTTATTGGTATAGCAATGAAGTAACTGTAGAGGTAATGCTGAATGCAGAATAATATGTAGAGTACCTAGTGGTATAATTAGGATTTCTTTTTTTTTACTAATAGTACCTAAATTAGAACAAATAGATCCAACAATTATCGTATCGCAGTTAGATCATAATACAAGTAATAAAAAAAATATATACGATTTTACGCTAATGCTTTATTGGTCACTTGTTGTCTAATTCTATTGTTATCGCAAAAAAGTGACAGCATCAACCTTACTCTAACTTAAAAGTTAATTAAATCCTTTGGGTGAAGTCGTTAGACTGCAGAAATATGTATAGGTACCTATTTTCTTTTGGGAATCCTATTGGAAAAGTCGATGGTGTTTTCAGAGTGCTAAAGTTAGCTACGGCGTTTTTGCCAGCGATTGGCCACTGATAAGTAATAAATATCAAAGAGAAGTGGCATTGCTTGGAGTCGCGACTGCAAAAACATTGGTCTTCGAAGCCGGACCCTTTAATGAAATGACTCTAAGTACATTTTTAGGAGTAAGTAAAAATACGCATAATACTTATCTACACACATGACACAATAATAATACATTGTTCACCGAGAGGAGAAAGTGACCGATTACCAACGAGGGTGTAGTTTGAGGCCCGAGACGCAGATACCCAAGTTGGGAATAGCACTTTCTTTCGAGGGATTCATAGGCTTTATACTATACCTGCGATGAAATAAAAGAGAAATTCTTTAATTGAAATTTATATTAAAGTTGTTACAGTTACTAAACTTTTGCATGGGAGCTTTATATTTGTTTCTTGTTTTCACGGGTAAAGGTAGAGAACCTTTAATGATTCTGCTTAGGTAGTTTCTCCTAATTCTGACGGTCTCAATAAAGTTTCATTATCAGTAATATACGCCGTCTCGAGTCTATTATTAAAATAAAATGATGTCTTCTTTCAGTAAAATATCCTATCTTCAATATTTAACATACTTTCCCACCGTAACCGTAGCCGTGGGACGACTTGTATATATATTTTATGTACGTTCACCGAATTTTTAAACAAGAATTAAGCACTTTCCGAGCTGGTGTAGTATATAACCCCTTGTTTACACCAAGAAACAAGTCATACAAGTATTACACATAACTTGTAGAATACTGCGACATTCTTTCGTTTACACTGCAATGGCAACGAGTATATTGACAAGAATAAATCACTATTTACTTCACATATTTGGTGTATCCAACAAGTTTGATGCAAGTATTGTATACTTAATGTTTTATACATATACTAGCTGACCCAGCGAACTTCGTACCGCCCTAAAAAAATAGGGGTTGTCCAGCGGACAAAATTGTGAATCTAAACCATTCTCAGATCCCCTTGAACACACACAAAAAAATTCATCAAAATCGGTCCAGTCGTTTAAGAGAAGTTCAGTGACATACACACTCACAGAAGAATTATATATATAAAGATTGTCTATACTATATTATATTATAAAGCTGCAGAGTTTGTTTGTTTGTTTGTTTGAACGCGCTAATCTCTGGAACTACTGGTCCGATTTGAATGATTCTTTCAGTGTTGGGTAGTCCATTTATCGAGGAAGGCTATAGGCTATATTTTTTTTTCAAAATTAGGGATCCGTAATAAAATTGCTATTTTGTAACACAAGGTGTAAAATCGAAAACCTATTTTTGCGTGCGCTGCAAAAACTATTGACAATAGAACAAAATGATGTACTACGGGTTTGTAGATCCCATTAAGACCTACAAAAAAGTCCGCGATATATCTGGCTATCATGGTTTAATCACAATAACCGAACATATATCTAGCTATCATGGTTTAATCACAATAACCGATTTTGTGTTCAAAATAATTATTAAATCTTCTGAAGAAAATAAAACTACGTTAAATATGTATCGTAATATTAATCTTTATCGAAATTAAGCATTATGTTATCAAGAGTATTTATGTAGAAGTAAAATACTTTTTGTATCATCTCAATCGGATATTTCGTTTAAAAGTTATCACGTGTGTAAGATGTTAAGAGTTGGTACCTATTAATGAGTTATGGGCCATAGAGTTTTTTATCAACATAAAATCCTGTAATAATATAATCTTTTTCGAAATATATTTGTTGATGATTGTAAGTATAAGATCTTTGAAGACTATAATAAATACATTTCTAAAATAACTCTGCTAAGGAAATCCTAGCGCGCTTGATGCATGCAAGACAACGCTGGCGGCGCGGAGCCGCGCGAGACGAGGAGGCGGAGCTTGCTGGCCGCCTGTCGCTCTTATTTATTGAAAGTATGAAAGTACACGGTCTAAGGGTGCACTAAGAAAGGACCCCCCCCCCCCCCTCACCCCCCCGAAGGGTTTCAAATAGGGGTTTTAGGTTTTAATGAAAGGTTGTATGAAAAATCTTATTCCTTGGGTAAACTAAGAGACTTAAAACTTGACTCAAATATAAACCGTAAACAGACTGAGAAAAATCAGATTGAATAAACAATAGGCTACATAAAATGACTAATTCCACGCGTACGAAGTCGCGGGCAACAGCTAGTATATTATATGCGTGAACAAAAAATTAAGACATTGTATAAAATTTGTAATATACATTTCAGTTTTATTTATACCTTGGTTTCAACGAAGGGTTAAGAGGTTTCTCTATTCTGCGTTCTGTGTATTCTGTTACACCCATAAACCGAAAATGCTTATTGAGAACGCTCATCACGCGGTGTGGCAATCATTAATAGCTAAATTCGTATCGTGGCGTAGCTGACATGCTATTTGACTTCAACGCGTTGTGGTGGCCAAGTTGTGACAATGAAGAAAAGCTTATTAGTTAATAAGTGGTTTTTTAAGTGAACACTTTTTAGTACCGTTGTGACGAGTTGAGATTCGATGAAACGGAGGTAGAGTATTTGACACAAGGTAGGTATCCGTAATTTTGAAATACTCTGCAAAAGACGGATAGTTGAACGAAATCGGACTTGGGGCCGATACCAAAAGATCGGTGATTCGTTCTTAATATCGGTCAATGTTTAACATTATTTAAGTATATTTAAGTTTGCCCAGTATATAACAATACCGCAATAAATCTAAGGAAAGGTTTACTAGAAAAACAGATTCAGATTTAAACATATAGCAGTTAAATACTTAAAATATAAATACAACAATACCTGAATAGTTAGGTATTTAAATGTTAATTAAATTGTAGGTAGGTAGTTCATTAGTACAGCCGGTGTTATTTTTAATTTTATTTTTTTATGGGGTAACGACTTCTTTATCATCGTTTTGATAAACGTATAAATCTATATGAGATGGAACGTAAAATAGGTAAGTAATTTTGTGTGGACGCACTGACGTCTTTTTGGAATTAGCAAAAAAGGGACGAACAATGACTTCATATAGGCGACAATCGAAAGCAAGTGATGCATGCTTTACTTTGAAGTATTTTTGGGAATTACTAAATATTTAGAAAAAATAAATCAAACCTAATAAAAAGAAAAAAACAACAAAAGAAATCAATTTAAAAAAATGTTGTTGTATGGAGATTTGCATCACGGCCACGGATAAACTTTATTGAGCGCCATCTAACGTTTATTTGTTATACTTCTATGTTCGTTTAAGTCGAAAGCAACTGAGACAGGTAGTGTTTTAAATTTTTTTAATTTGCGGCTTGGTACACGGAAAAAGACGAAGATAACATTTACTGGATTTTTATAGTGAATAAACTAAAATCTGCAAATTTTATTTAGAAATATGGTATCGATGTAAGCGTCATCTAACGTTCATTTTCAGTACTACTATGTTAAGTCGGAAGCTGATTCTGACTTAACATAACAGATGTCGTGTGATTTTCTGTAAGGTGGAGGTTACTTTTTCAGACGGGCGCTCAAATTAGAGCGGATTATTCGCTATTCGCTACCTCTCTTAAAAAAAATATTATCGATGTTCGATGTAAATTGATTACCTAAAAAAAACGCAATAACTTAAACGTTTTTCACTTATTCTATCTACTAATTTCATATTATAAACTAGCGACACTTCGATTTTTTTATGTAAGATTTTATAAATTCCTGAAAGACTGTAAAACGGCTTAACTGTTTTTGCTCGCTGTCGATGTTTTGTCAATATGTTGAAGATATCTCCCAGTCTACACACTTATTCAATCAATCACTTTTCATAAGACGTAGACACGAAGAACTTTTGTGTTCACATTTTCGTAGGTTTCACTCTATCTGCACACATGCTAGATTACGGTATGGGAACTGCACACATGCTAGATTTTTTATATAAAGTTATCCCAATAAATTACAAATACCCTTATTTTAATGACATGTTTTACGTTCTGCGTTTTTAGAATTTTTAGCAGCAAAAAGAAGTCTGATACCTGTTACAGAATAAAAATATTTCCAAAGGACATGTAGACCAGGTATCGTTTCAGATAGTAGGACCCACATCGCAAAGCACTGTGTTGTAATCAAAATGGCTTCATACGCGTTATGCAGCATGTCAGCCACAAAGACTTTTTTCAGTCTTTGGTCAGCCACGACACGTACCTATGTGGTTTTTCGAAGATAGCTATAACGCGTCGTGAGCATTTTCATTAGAGCCATAAGAATTTCGCCATGTGGGTGTTTTACTGTGACATATTGTGAACAATATTTTCCTAAATGAGCATTTTCGGTTTTTGAGCGTAAATACACAACGTGGGACAAAAAGGTAACTTAATGCAAGGAACTGAGTTGGATCCCAAAAGCAGAGAAGGATTCTAGAGTAGACTAGGTTCTAGATGAAAATCCTGAGCCGACCCTGAGAGATACTAGTACCGGGCTAATTTTTTTATTAAAAAATTTAAGGTTCCTGTGGTATTCTTAACTAACTATATGATTTCAATCCGAATTCCAATCCGCAAATTTAAATCGCGTCGTGCTCGGTGGATTCTGCTGCAAAACACAGATTTATTTGTAATGTTATTTTCTTCATTTCTAATGTCCATGTAACGCAGAATTCTGTGAAAATAATGGCGCGGATAGGTTGTTTTCATTTTGCGGTTTGTTATCCGAGTGCGGAACTAGCATTCACTGCAAATAAAATCTCGCAAGGAATTTTGCTAGTTTGGTATAGTAACCTATACTTAGAGCTCTGATATGCTCGTTAATGGAAAGTATAATAAAAGTTTTGATTTGATTTAATTTGGCAAAAGGCATGTCAAAGATTTCACCGACACTGGATTCATCCTTAGAATTTGATAGAACGCCTTAAATCTTTTAATATTTGTTCCAAATAAAGATATTCCTATAATTAAATCTAAATCGTCATCGCCACCCCGCGATCGTTTTCCCGAAATGCGAAATCCCATTCTAATTAATTTAATACTTTTTCACAATGTTAAATCTACGACATATTATTAAATTTAATTTTTCAATGATTGTTTTATTTAATATATGCACTTATTAGTATTCATTTTTGTTTTAGATTATACGAGCAAGTTATAGTTTCTATACTTTACTGAACAAGACTAATTAGTAAAACAAAACGTAAAAGGAGTTACTGTATTAATATTCTTGGCTGACAGTGTAGTAAGTACAGAGAGATTTTAGTGTACAAATCAATATATCTACCTAATAGCACAGATTACTTAATAGTTACTACGTCTAGTAGCTTCTACTTAAGTATAGATATAGACTTCAAGTGACAATTAAATAAAGTTTATTAAAAAATGGTATCTATCTTTTTATAAGTGAAACCGCATTACCTTTATTAAACCTACATGATTATTATAAAAACTGCCTAAAGCGCACACATTAAAAAAACACATAGGGCGCTTTCAAATTTACCGCGTGGAGGCAGTGCGTCTGCAGGGCTGTGTTCAGAAACTACGCTCCAGTTGCAACGAATGTCAATTTTGACATAAGTTCCATACATTTTATGTCAAAACTGAAACGTCAGGGTAAAAATGTTAAACGTTACACTCAGAACTTAGGTTTAGCTCAGCCAGTTTGAGGCTTAGATTAATACAAAAAGGGTAGATACGGTACGCTCATACTAGCATCAAATAAAATTTGATCCGACTCAACTACATAAGTAACTCTCGCCACGCACACGTCTGTATATAAACATCAATCGAGCGAGCGAGACTGAGAAACTATAATCTTCAACGCAGCGTATTGTTGTCCTTTCTTGCTTACAAAATGGTGATTTATAAATATTTTTCACGACAAACCGTGATTTTTGTGAAAAAAATGTTTTCACAGTTTTACGAATGAAAAGGGTTGCCGGGCCATTTAATTTTGAACTATTTGTGTTCTTTATAAAAGCATCGAAGGCATTGTTATATCTTCATAGCACAGAATATACGCAATATTGTTATATTGAGTGAACATGCAGCTTGTTTGAATGTCAAATTGTGACTAAAGCGAATTATGGTCGTGGACCACAATTTAAGCGGATCACTTTTGAGCCGCGAATGCCGTATCTTTATATATATACTTATTTTTTTTACACAGTTTGAATTAACTTTGATTATTTTAAAAAAACTACAATAAAATGAAAGCTTTAAACAATTTTCAACAATAAATAATATTACTAACGATAATAAATAAGTAAAATATTTCGATCAATGCCAACTTAAAGAAAAAACACTTGTTAATTTTCTGTCACTGAGTTGGTATCGATTGCACGCATCACACGAAAACATTACTTTTGAGAGTGCTCGATTGTGCCAAGCGTTGCTGTAGTTGAAACATTCAACGTTAAGCATTATGCCTCATAATGCGCTGTAGTGCTATAATTGGAAAACTACCATTGTACGTTGCTCGAGTGCAGTTTGTATGTAGATTACCTTCTGTAAATCTATATTGTGCCTTCGGCTTGCCGTCAAACAGGCGTCCACCCAACGTACAGTGCGACCAAGATCTTTATGAATGGGGGAAAATTGAGACTAACGCTGCGGTCTTTGTCATTAACGTTGACAGTGGCGCCTTCCCTGAATCGTTACTTACCTTCATAAACATATAGATCTTTGTCGCACTGTAAACGGGTAAGCAGCTCCAGTACGTTCGGAATGGCTATGACTAGGAGACGGAGGCGACGGCGCGCTTGCGGTTCGCTGACGGCTAGGCGGCACCAGTTCCAGAATCATGTCAGAATTGACATCATAGTAGAACTTAAAAATATCCAGACTGCCAATAACTGATATTACTGATCGAGGACTAGATAACCTCGATCATATATAATAAATAAAGAATGCCAGCTAATATTGACTTAATATATATTTACAAACAAAATAGAACACATGAGTACAAACAACGTATCTAAGCAAGTAACAACCAAAACTTGAAGTGCATGTCAGTCAGTATATTCAAATAATTCTGACAACCACAAACCATACGAATAACAGCAATGAGATTACACGCAAATATAAACTCCTAGCAATTTGTCGCTCTAACACTCCTCCTTAATCTCATGCCTGTTAGTGTACCTACCATATAAACAGCCATCTTATTCACACACAACTCAAACCCATGCTTTTCACACACCATTCAAATTTACCTCTCAACAAACACTTTGTCAAAACATCAGCTGTCATTCTATTAGTTTCCTTGTACCTCAAATGAATGTCACCATTCTCAATCGCCTCACGTACAAAGTGATATCTTACATCCACATGCTTCGTACGCTGGTGATGTACAGGATTCTTAGCAATTGCCATAGCCGACTGACTATCAGTGAAAATTGAGATTGCGGGATTGGGTCCATCTCTTAATTCTGCAATAAACCTGCGAATGAAAATTGCCTCTTTTGCAGCCTCTGATAACGCTACATACTCAGCTTCTGCAGACGATATTGCCACTGTACGTTGTTTCTTGCTCTCCCAAGAAATAGCTCCTCCTTGAGATAAAAATACCCAACCTGAATTTGATCTTCTATCAAAGTCTCCGGCGTGATCTGCATCAGCATAACCTAATACAAACTCATTTTGGTTTCCCCTTCTATAGAATAATGCTAGATCCTTGGTTCCCATCAAATAGCGGAGCACTCTCTTTGCAGCTATCCAATGCTCGTCTCCGTAGCTGTTGTTAAACTGACTGAGCTGACTTACTGTGTGTGCTATGTCAGGGCGCGTACAAACAGCAAGGTACATCAGTGAACCAATCAATGCGCGATACGGTACTTTTTCATCAAGTTCTTGATCAAGCTGTGGCCTCTCTAGCCTTTGTCCTGGTACTGCTGGAGTAGCAACTGGTTTACAGTTCTCCATTCCAAATGTACGAATAACCTTCTCTATGTATCCCTTCTGATCCAGTTTGATCCCTTCACTATCTTGTGCTATTCGTATTCCCAACATCAACTTCGCTGTGCCAAGGTCCTTCATCTCAAATTTGTTTGTGAGATCGGTTTTAACCTTCCTTAATTCCTCAACATTATTCCAGAACAATAAAATGTCATCTACATATATGGCAAGAATAATTACTTTATCTCCTGTAGATCTAATATAAACGCATGGTTCATACTCAGACCTCTTGAATTTAAGTTTCAGCAATTCCAAATGAAGTTTTTTATTCCATGCTCTGGGAGCTTGTTTAAGTCCGTACAATGATCTTTGCAACTGGCACACATAATTCTCCTTTCCCTTTTCAACGAAACCCTCTGGTTGCTTCATATAAACCACCTCGTCCAAGTTACCATTCAAGAATGCGGTTTTCACGTCCATGTGGTCTATATTAAGATTCATATGAGCTGCCAATGCAATCAATGTCCTCAAAGAGCTATGTCTAATAACTGGAGAAAATGTCTCAAAATAATCTATTCCATGCCTCTGGCTGAAACCTCTTGCAACTAGGCGTGCTTTGTATCTCTTATTTCCCCCTGCCTCTTCTTTGATTTTAAATATCCATTTAGAATCAACGACGTTGCAAGATTCTGGAGGTAACGTCAATTTCCATGTTTTATTTTTCTTGAGTGCATTAAGCTCCTCGTCGATCGCAGCTTTCCATAAGTGTTTGTCTCTTCTAGACAATGCCTCATCCACACTCTGCGGATCATCACAATCAGCTATTGTGTGATATGTAATGCAGTCAGGTATCGCTTTCTTCTTTCTATCTCTTAAAGGATATCTTCTTGTAACAGAACTCTCTTCATTTGTTTCCGTTTCTAAATTCTCATGCAGAATATCATCATCATTACTACTTACAATATTTACAGGTTCATTTTCCGATTCAATTTGATCTCTTTGAAAATCTTGAACTTCTATGTGATCTTCATATTCTGTGACGTTATCCTTAAAACTAAGCGGTGCTGACTTCTCAACTCTTTCAACTGTTTGCTTACAGTTTATATTCTCGTTCTCGAAAAACACAACATCTCTGGCCTTGCTTAAATGATTAGTTATTGGGTCTATTAAGCGGTAGCCTTTCGATTCTTCACAGATGCCTACATGAATCATTTCTTTAGATTTAGCGTCCCATTTCGTCCGTTTTACTTTTGGTACGTGAATAAACGCTTTGCATCCGAAAATTCGTAGCATGCTTAAGTCTTGCTTCCTTCCAGTCCACGCTTCCTCTGGCGTTTTACCTTTAACTGCAATGGTCGGTGATCTATTCTTTAAATACACAGCGTAGTTCACCGCCTCTGCCCAGAACTTTTCATCTAGCTCTGCTTCCTGAAGCATACTTCTAGCTTTTTCTGTTATTGTGCGGTTTGCACGTTCTGCAACTCCATTCTGCTCGGGTGTATACTCAACCGTTAATTGCTGTTGTATACCACACTGCTTCAAAAATTTCTTCATCTGCTCATTGACATACTCCTTGCCATTATCCGATCGAAGAATTTTTAATTTCTTTCCAGACTGGTTCTCAGCAAATGTCTTGAAATCTAAAAATTTTTGAAAGACTTCACTTTTGTTTTTGATAAAATATACAAAAGTTTTTCTTGTAAAATCATCAATAAACGTTAGAAAATATTTACAGCCCGACATTGAGTCTTTACTCATTGGTCCACATACATCAGTATGAACCAAACCTAAAATATCATCAGCTCTGTTTGCTAAACCCTTTTTAAACGGTTGTTTGGTCTGCTTTCCCATCAAACAAGCTCTACACTGTAAGTTAACTGGATTATTAGTAAAACTTACCCCTGTAGCCAATTTGTCTCTCAGCAGCTTAAGGTTCCGTACACCAAGATGTCCCATACGTCTATGCCACAACTCTATGTCTATGGTACTGACAGTCGAGGCTAGTGCTTTCTCCTGTGAACAGAGCTTAAGTTTATAAACACCATTATCCTCCACACCTGTATATAAGACATCACCAGTAACCTTACATCCATCCGCTTTCAACAGTTCATAGCCTTTCGCTGAAAATACAACAACTACATTCTTCTTTACAATAGCACTCACGCTCAACAAGTTAGTTGCTAAGTGTGGTACATACATCACTTCACTTACGCCTGCAACATTCTCCTTACATACCACAGAACCTTCTCCAATACCATATACTTTACTACCATTCGCACATCCGATTTCCACTTTTTTGTCATACATTCTAACGTCCATTAAATACTCTTTGCTGTTAGTCATATGGCTTGATGCCCCAGAATCTAAAATCCACTCGTCTGGTTTTCCTGAAGTTGCAAGTCCCAATGCTAACGAAGCCTTCTTATTTTTTGAGTTCTCTGGACAATCTCTCGCTTTATGTGGTCCATTACAAATAAAGCATTTTATCTT